GCCTGAGACTCAAATCAATCACCTCTATATTTTCATCATGAGGCCTCCTTGAAGAATTGTTTGCTTGATCAGAATTTTTCTTATTATGTGCAAGCTTGCTAATAAAATCAATCTCCTTTACAGTAAAACTCCAAGATCTTTGTGATTGTTGTTGCTCTGAAATTTGTGATTTTCCTCCTTGCATGGAAGAATAAGCAGATTGATTTGATTCTTGGGGCATCAAAGTTGTCTGATGCATGATTGGTTGTGCACGATTAACCATCTGTTGCCCCAGCCATGAATTACGATACGAGTTATCTTTGAGTTGCATATAAGGCGAATAGGGTTTACGCATATTCTCGAATAATGGTTGAGATCCTGCTCTCACGCTACCAAGTTGACCTTGGTTTGAAGTAAAGTCAAAACGGTGAGATTGGAAATTAGAAAGTGAGTAGTAATAAGCAGATGTCGTGCTAAGAATCTTTTCTCTTTTTGCTGCTTCTCTCTTCTTTCTATGGGCATTCTGATGCCCACCCAAAGCATTGCCAGTGCTGAACTTTTTATTACAAAACTTGCAAGGGTACATTTTTTTCACTCTTGCATGACTTGATGTTGTAGCATGGTGAGTTCCATGATTGCTATTTGTTTCTTTGTTTTCCTCTTCTATAACTTGCCTAGGTATACTTCCAAACATCATCGAAAATTGATCAGTAGCAGAATGCATTGTTGCCTCGATGATTCTTGTAATGCATCACTTGAGATGGTAAATGACTTATATAGAAATTCCTTTGTACCTTGTACTGAAGTGAGCAAATAATTTAAGCGATTACGATGATTTTGTAAATTTTCCTTATTTTATCACCAAAATTTCCTTTGATTTCGCATTTTTTCCTTATTATATTACCAAATTTTTCTTCTAAGGTATCCTATGACTTCAGAACATTATTCTATCGTATATCAGATATTGTTCCTTAATTTTTATTACCTGAAATAATGAGATATTTGTTATGCTCTTATTTTAATGAAGATTTGAAATTATTTACGTAACTTTTAAAGATAAACTTAAAAAATATAACTTATTTAAAACTGAATTAATTAACCCAAATCAAAACATAATCAAGAATGAATCAGTTGCATTTTCTTCAAGAATGCAATAAAATCCTAATCATGACCGCTCTAAGCAAGGGATATGCAACATATAAGAATGGATTAATTTTATAATTTTATTTTCTTCTTCCCTTAATCATGATATATTAAATCTTCTAGCTGATATGAATAATGATATATTTAGATTTTTATTAATTTACACTTATTTTCTTTTTATTTATTCAATTGAGTGTTGATTACTGTCCGGATTGCTCTTTGAAATTTCTATTCATAAATTAATTGGTTGAGTTATATATATATAAATTTTGAAATTTTATATATAAAATATATTGTACTCATTAATTCTCTGAGAATAGAGATTAATGGTTATGTTTGACCTATTGTGAGACTTTTTAAATTGTTATTTTATTTTAAAAAATTAAATTAAGAAATTAATTGAGTTGTAAGCAACAAAGAGAATTAATATATCAAGAAACTTCCTCACCAATATATATATATATATATATATATATATATATATATATATATATATCAAGAAACTTATATTCTTATTAATTGAAGGAATCTCCATATCAATTATTGATCAGATTCTAGTTAGGTTAAATTCAGAGTGGCCTAATATGCCCGTTCATACTCTATTTCTTAGTTTTTACAGTGTTTTTTAAATTTGTTCTCATTTAAGACTTTCATAAAGTTTATTTTATTAATAAATTAAATTTATTGTGTGGTAAGAAATAAAGAGGGTTGATACATCAAGAAACTTGATATTAATTAATTTCAGAAATCTTCATATATATTACAAAAAGAAAAAGAAAAAGAAATCTTCATATCAATTATTGATTAGATCCTAGTCTGGTTAAGCCTAATATATATGTCTGTCCATACTTTACTTATTAGTTTTTATTTTATTTTTTAAATTTATTCTCATTCAAGACTTTTAAATAATGACTTATACAGAGATTCCTGTGTAGCTTGTATTGAAGCGAGCAAATAATTTTAAGGTTTATGATGATTTTGTTTTAGTAATTTTGCAAAATTTCCTTATTTTATTACCAAGTTTTTCTTTGATTTTGCAATTTTTCCTTATTTTATTATCAAATTTTTCTTTGATTTTGCAATTTTTTCTTATTAATGTATTGCCAAATTTTCCTTCGAAGTTATCCTATTATCAAATATTGTTTCCACGATTTTTAATTACGTGAAATAATATGAGAATTTTTATTATTATGCTCTTATTTTAATCTTGAAGATTTACACTACTAAAAAACTCCAATTTTTCGACGAAAATTTTCGACGAAAAATATTCCGTCAAAGTCTTCGACGAAAATTTCAACGCAAAAAGTATTCCGTTGAAGTTTTCGACGAAAATTATTTTCCGTCGAAGATTTTTCAACGGAAATCAGATTCCGTCCAAGATGTTTGACGGAAAATGAATTCCGTCGAAATTTTTTATAAAAATATATGTTAAAAGAAATTATATTTATGAATTTTTAGAAGATTTTTAACGGAAAATAAATTTCGTCGAAAACCATTACACAAAAAATAAATCAGAAAAAACATATTTATGAATTTTTCGACGGAATTCAGATTCCGTCGCAAATATCCGACGAAAAATGAATTCTGTCGAAAACCATTATAAAAAAATAAATCATAAAGAAATTATATTTATGGATTTTTCGACGAAATTTATATTCCGTCGAAGAGTTTCGACGAAAAATTAATTCTGTCGAAAACATTTATAAAAATATAAATCACAAAAGAAATTATATTTATGGTTTTTTCGACGGAATTCTGATTCCGTCGAAAATATCCGACGAAAAATGGATTCCGTCGAAAATCATTATTAAAAAATAAACCATAAAGAAATTATATTTATGGATTTTTCGACGTAATTCAGATTCCGTCGAAGATTTTGGACGGAAAATGAATTCCGTCGAAAATCATTATAAAAAAATAAATCACAAAAGAAATTATATTTATGGTTTCTTCGTCGGAATTCAGATTCCGTCGAAAATATTCGACGAAAAATGAATTCCGTCGAAAAACCATTATAAATAAATAAATCAGAAAATAAATTATATTTATGATTTTTTCGACGGAATCTGAATTCCGTCGAAAACCATTATAAAAAAATAAATCAAAAAAGAATTGTAAATAAATGAATGAGAAAAAAATTATATTTATGAATTGTTTTTATAAACAATATTCAATATTCAAAAAAATGTTTTAAGAAACAATATTCAAATAGGGCCTTAATTTTTTTATTTATTTGAACTTGTATTCGGTATTTTGATGAATAAGTTTAGATTTATATTTGATTTAATTTTTTAATTTTTTTGGTGAATGAGATATCTGATTTAATTTTTAAAGCACTTATCTTCCTTGTGATATTTTTAATTCAAATCCACCTTTAACTCTTAAATATTGGGTTAATCTAGTCATTTTGATTTTGTGAATAATAATAAAATTATCACAGAAAATGTAAGTAATGAAAAAAAATTTTGATGAGGTGAGAATGCGATTGGGCATGATATCCATAGATCCGATTACCAATTATAATGAATGTACCAATCAAAATTAATTGTGTTTGGTACATTAATTGTGATTGGTCATTGATATGAACCTCTACATAGATGAAATTTTATTGATAAAATGTGACTAGGTTTTTTTCTGGATCTAGTTCATGGGTTAATGGGCCTTGGGTTTAAAAATTTTGGGGGCTATGATTGAGAAAAAACCCAAGTAGGTAGAGAAAAATTAATATAGTGGATCGATTTTCGGTTTATTCGGTTATCGATTTTTCGGTTCGGTTACCGCGGTTTAAATCGGTTTGGATTGTTTGATGAACACCCCTAGTTTTCAAATTCAATTCCATCTGCTTGTGTACTTTTTTTGAATTAAAGTCAAAAATTCAAAATTCCAAATTGTTAGTACATAGTTGTCTTAAAAACAATCTGAGAGTCAGATGGACCCATGTAGGTATAACAGGTTGATCATTCAATGAACTCAACTAGCTCTAAGACAACAAAAGAGAGCAGGTGGTTTCATGGGTCAAGTTGAAATTTGAAATTTGAATTTAAATATAGTCATTAAATTAGATTTATTGAAGATAAAGAAAATAAAGGAAATAAAACAATTAGATTGATTGGAAACAAATCAATTGGATTCATTAACCAAAATTAAGGAAACAAATTAATTAAATTAATTGGCTGAATTTTGAGAAACTAATCAATTGGATTGATCGGATAAAATCAAGGAAACCAATCAATTGGATTGATCGGATAAAATTAAGGAAATCAATAATTAAATAAGTAAAATTAATTAACTTTTGATAAACTTAGCTTGTTCAAATTAATTTAAAATTTTCAATATTACATATAAAAACAAGAATTATATATCAAATAAAAAAGAAATTAAATTTTTGAATTTTAAAATAAAAAATGGAATATCTTATTTTCAAAATACATATTTAATTTATTTTAAATAAATTTTATTCTATTTTTAAAGATATTTATAAAATGAAAAATTATAAAGATAATTTATGAATAAATCCCAAAGTAAATAACTTGAAATATTATTGAAATGTAAATTTTCATTATTAATTTCATTTGATGATATCCCGATGAGGCATAGAAGCACTTTATTTATTTAAAAAAATTTAGTATTAATTTTTAAATTTGACAAATATGATGTAATTGCATAGCCATAAGATAAACTTTTAAATTGTATATTTTATTTTATATTATATGTTATATTTATTTTTTACCACACATATTATAATCATTAAAAAAAATAAGATTTTTCACTCTTTGTTACTTTTCTCCTTATCCAAATTATTTCCCTCTTCTACTTTTTCACAATCTAAAAGGTCCCGCTTTTTTCCAAGTTATCCACGCTTCCTTTTTCATTTTCACCTTCATCATCTTCTTCTTCGTTTCTCTCATGCCCCAATCACTCTTCAACCACATCGATACTTTAACATGTAGATTCTTACGCTTTCGAAGAATATCTGAATATTCTTCAAAAAATTGCATTATTTCTTTCTTTCGCTCATATTGGAAGGAGAGAGAATATGGGTTCTATGAACGATGATGCACAGCTTATGGAAGAGGGTCTTCTTCAGGTTGCCTTCACTCCATTTTTCATTCTCCATAATCTTGTTAAGTTTGCTTATATGAAAAATTCTTTCTTGTTGGTTCTATGAATGTTCTAGCATATGGTTACTGGGGACGATACTGGACAATTGCTATTTTCTCTACGATTTATTTCTTTTGGGTTTAGATGTTCTATTAGGATTTTTTTTATTTGTGGGTTTAGATGTTTAATTGTGAATATTTTTGATTTCAGCTCCGCAAATTGTAACGTTTAGGATTTTGGATGGAGGTGCTGTTAGTTTATCTCAAAGACAGAGCTTGGTAAAGCCCGTCAACACTAAACCTCCAGCCTGCTTCCTCGCATAATACAAACTGTGGTATATTTAGTGATATACACTTCCAGTTAACTTTTAACTTTCAGCTAATGCATACTAAGTTAAATTTCACTTTTTTTTTAATCATAATGGAAGTTATGCTATGTCAAGAAAATATGAAGTATTAAAGAAGGCTATATACTATTTGTGTATTTATATTATATCTAACAAAGCTATATACTATTTGTGTATTTATAATATATTTGTTGTGAGAATTGGGGACAAATTTATATAATGAGTACATTATCCATTAAAATTAAAAAAAAATGCTATATATGGTTTGTTTTATACGCGTGTAATGTGAGCAATAAAATTGGTTTATATGAATGTGGTGAAAGAATGACCAAGTGAATGAGAGGGAGGCTTGGTTAATGGCCTTGGACAAATGGCCATCATGCATGACTTGCCTTTGCCAAGTGGCTTTCATGCCTAAGGTTCTCATGTTAAGTGTTGAACATGCAACCTTGGTGAATGAGGTATCTCAGCCAAGTGAGTTTGTGTAGAAATTGCATGTCCAATATTGTCTAAGTGCCACACAAGAGAGTGTGGGCCGAGGAGTCCATGAAAGCATGATGGGGTGGGAATTTAGGATTGGGTCGAGAATTTCTTTGAGGAATACAAGGTGGAACTTTGATTTATATAGTAGGGATATTCATATGGTAGGGATATTTTTTTGTATGTATAATTCTAACACAGTGGCACCTATGATGACGAATTTGATGTTAAGTCCTGCATATGATTAGCGTCTCAATTTCAGTGTCTTGGTTTGAAATGAAATTTACTATTTATCCAGGGAATTATGATCATAACCCGTGGTTATGAGGGTTGTAATTGATTATTGTTTTTTTTTTTTTACAATGTTATATTAGGGGATGCTATGATACTAATAACTCTTTTCTCTGGTTGATTGCGTTACTCTGTGGAGGTGGAGGTTGCTTCTCTGTTCAAATGTTCCATAATTCGCAATATCCTGGTTTACAGGTAGAGTATCTAGAGGTATGGAACTTTGGTTATGCAAACCTTCTTATTTTAATGGTTTTTTTTTGTTATGCAAGCCTCTTCGGCCTCCTATATTTGTGTCTTATATTTTTTTTTTGTTAATGCTTCAGTATGTGATGGTTTTGTCGAATAGGATAGTGCCTATTGCATTTGGTGGCACTGAAGAGCCAATTGATATGGAGGAAAAGAAAAAAAACCAATCACTTTCATTTGGTTATTGTCAGGAAATAAGTCTAGTAAACTTTATTTTAATACATTAAGCTGTGCATGCGAGGCATCCTTATTCTTTGATACAAATTAGAGATATCTCATATTTAATGCCATTTGTTTAATACAGGTACTAGAGATTCATCCCACTAGTAAATGGACAAAGGGAAGGCCCTGGAATTTCTGTTAGAGTTACTCCATGAGTTTTAATCTAATACATTCGATTTTGGTTCTTGGTTTTATTTGTAACAGATAAACATGCAAAATATATGTATATATATATATATATACTACAGTCTTTTATTGAACTTTTAAGGTGATCCATTATGATGAACAAATTGTATAGGACACTAAAGTAATAACACATTAGATTTTATGTTGCTGATTATTTTTGTTTCTTGTCTGTGTGTGGATATGGTGCATGGGGACCTCAGCAACAACTTCAAGCACTCATGAAAACGCTTAACAAAACAGAGCCGCATTACATTCGATATATCAAGCCAAACTCTTTGAATCGACCCCAACAGTTTGAGAATACCAGCGTCATACACCAGTTACGCTCTGAGGTCAGTAGTTTAGATATTCTAGCTCATTTACTGTTATCTTTCAACAGGATTTGCCAACTATATTGATGTCTTTCCTGTTTATATTGGTGATTATAGAACCGATGAAGATGCATTCAAGGTATCCCATGATCTTAACTGATATATTTATTTTTAATTGTTATTTCTCTAAAAAATTAGTGCTCTGTTAATTTGTAGACCAAGTATATTTGTTAGTTGATTGTCAATTGTTTTATAATAAGTAGGAAATAAGACACAAGGGACAAAGGTTTTGGTATTCTTGTCTGGAAATTGGGTTTGTGTCCATATGAAGTCCACTATGACTCTGGCTCAGAGTAATTGAGAAGCTGATAAAATGTGTGTCACTTGCTAAATGCTTGGCTTTTTTTTTTATATTCCTTTTCAGTTTCTTCTTCTTTTTCTTAATTCTTCTTTTCATACTGTTAATGTCGAAGAAGCATTCCAGTGAATAGCAAAGAATGCCTTGAAAAGTGGGGAAGAGGAAGAACTGTAAGTTCTTAAACATGTGCACCTTTTTTTTCATGCATGTGAACAAGCCAAGGCAGCATTATTTAATGGCTACCCTAGTGATTGTGGATCTTTTTGTTTATTGGCAATTGAAATATTGCATTTCGTTTAATTCTCCGTGTTGTTATTTGAGTGTTGAAGATACCTGCCGGACACAATTGATTTTGGAAACAACAATCAGCAGCGGTCAACGGGATGTGAGTGCTAAATATACTGCCTTTTCTCTTCAATACAGATAAAGTACATTACTTAAATATGATCTCTTCATGCTTAGCCATTACTGTCTATGAAACTTCATTGTAAATTATTGTTTGCTCAAGAATCTAAGTGGTCCAATGCTTGTTTGTTTTATGTGCTTTGCGTTCAGATTAGTTCTTCTTGTATGGTATTTCTATATTGTCAAGGGTATGCAAAGATCATTCTGAAGTTTTTTGTTTCATTGCTTATTTTTCTTACCCCGCATATGTTAGAGTTTTGTATGCTCAATTTTAATTTTTTGCTTCAATGCTTTCAGCAGAAACCTTATAATCTCCATGGTGGTTGCTACAATGCATGAGTTTTAGATCTATCACCCACTAAAATGTAAAAAACATACTGGAGTTCACAATTAATTCATTTATTTATAATAGCTGCTCATAGTAATAGGCCTTAAAGAACATGTATAATATCATTGAGTGTATCCTAGGAATTATAACCGTTTGATGGGGCTGAAATGCAATGGGAAATGTTAAATATAGGGAAGTATATAAATATATATATATATATATATATTATAACTAACGCAACTTAACTTTATATTATATAAAGTTACGTAACTTTATATAAAGTTACGTTATATTATATAAACTTAACTTTACGTTATATTATATATTATATAAACTTAACTTTATATAGTATTATATTATATAAACTTAACTTTTACGTTAGATTATATGAAGTTACGTAACGTAGCATTATATATATATATATATATAACCTAACAGATTATTATTATAAAAAAGGGTTTTTTTATTTTTTTTGTAAATTTTTATAATTTCATCTTTGATTCTTTATATTGTAAATACATTAGTTTAAAATTTTATCATGGGTGTTTTGATCCCACTATGATAACCAGTACTCTGAACCCTTTCCATTTGGCTCTATGTAGCCTACTCTCCACAATAGTGTTCATGATAGAAGTTCCACCTTGATATTGAATTGAAATCCATGTTTTAATACTATTCTGTTTGTAGATTATTTTGTGGCTGGACCCAGAGATCCAGAAGTGGAAGACTTTCCATAATTGGGTTAAGTTTTGGTAAGCTTTGAACCCTGTTTTTTGATAAGTTTTTCTTTTTGTTTTTGGGTAGTAATTCTGTCATTTTTGACTCCATATTATATGATTCTGGTGAAGACAAATTATTTACACATGGAATTAAGTGTTGACATATGTCAATTGAAATATTTTTGTCTAGTTAATTTTTTTGCTATTAGTAAATACAAGGAGATTATGATAATATTTTATTTTTAAAGCTCGGTAATACTAATACCCTTTTTATGAATACAAGGAGGCTTCCAGGAGCTTATTATAGTCAAGGGTTAGGTACACAGGAGCATATAAGCAATATTGGTTCTCTAGTAGGCTACAACTTGGAGTGTCCCAGCAGGAGCGTGACAGGATGTGCACATTGATTACGCAGTTACAAGGTACAGTTGCACAGCAAGAGGAATGTCTCATGGCTATGATGCATAGGCGAATGAAAAAAATAGAGAAGCTTATGCGGAGGCTTCTTGAGACATTATTAGATATTGAGGATGATGACAAAACTCAACCCCTGTATGAGGACCTACGTGATGACCACAATCATGCAATTCATCCACCAGCATGACTTTTGTATCTTGTTTGGATGCATATGAGATGGACTATTGTATATTATCTCCCTTTTGATTAGTATATGTCTTGGACATTTATACATATAAGACTCTTTCGAAATTATATGACATGGATGATTTTGATATGTTATTTACTTTTATTATATTTGTTTATTAAGTGCAAAACATAAATTGGTATTAATTTGTAGAGAGAAATAAAAAAAATTCGACTGAAAAGCAATTCCATCGATAATTGAGACAAAAGTTTTCGACGGAATTTCATTCATTTTTCGTCGAGTATTTTCGACAGAATTTATATTCCGTCGAAAAATATTTCAAGATTTTTTGAAGGAATATATTTTCTGTCAAAAATTATTACCAGAAAATTTCGATAAAATTAGTTTTTCGTCGAAAATCATTACAAAAATTTTCGACAGAATTTCATTGGTTTTTCGTCAATTTTTTTTGACGGAATCAGTTTTCTGTCGAAAACCATTACAACAATTTTTGACGGAATTTCATTCATTTTCCATAAAAAATCATTACAACAATTTTCGACGGAATTTCATTCATTTTCCGTCGAAAATTTTGGACGGAATTTATTTTCCATCACAAATTGAGATAAGATTTTTTGACAGAATTTCATTCATTTTCCGTCGAAAATTTTCGACGGAATTATTTTTCCGTTGAAACTTCTCACATAAATTATTCTGTCGAAATTTTTCGACGTAATCTGTAATTCCGTCGAAAAAATCGTTACCCACGAAGATATATTCGATGACTTCATTTCCGTCGAAAATTCCGTCGAAAACATCATTTTCGACGGAATTTTAGAGTTAATTTAAATAGCTTTTAAAGATAAAATTTGAAAAATAATTTATTTAAAACCGAATTAACTAACTCAAATCTAAAAGATTATTTGAAGTCAAATCCTAATCAAGAACGAAATCAATTGTTCTTTCTTCATATGAAATCGAAACATTACTTTATACTATATAAGATATTGTTACTCAATTTTCTATTACGTGAAATAATATGAATTTTTTTTTTATTATGCTGTTATTTCAATCTTGAAAATTTAAAATAAATTTACGTAAGTTTTAAAAATAAGCTTTAAGAAGTAATTTATTTAAAACTGATTTAATTAACTCAAATTCAAAACATAATTTGAAAATACAAACACAGATGTTCTTAACTCTTATAATTTAAATGATTTAAAAATTAATTTTAAATGGATGAATACATACTCATTCATAAAAATAAGGGAAATTATTATCTTATTTTACATGAGATAACTATCTCATGTTGTTCTCACATAAAAAATTATGCCACCATTTTTTTTAATAGGTGGTGGACCCCTTCACATCATGTGTCTATAGTAGGAGATAACTATGAGAAAATAGAATCCCTAAAAAAATTATCTCTGTGGAAAAATTCCTATTGGAACAACTACTGCAGAACTTTAATACTCAAGTTATGAGAGAAATTCCAATATCTGTGCAGAACCACTTGAAAGAAAATGTCCAGATGAAGGAAAAAAGAGAACAGAAACCACCCTGGAAACATCGTAAATGGGCATGGGGATAGAATTCTCCATCATAGGGTCAATACTGCTAATACAAAATCAATCGTGGAGAAATACCTACTCGATATTCTTGATCACTTTGATTGGCAGAATCTATACGTCAAACACTCATTGAACGTGGTGGTCCGTCAAGCAATTCCTTCGAGACACAGGAGTTAATGCGTAAGAGCATCAAGAGATCGAAGAACGGAGAGGAATTCTCTCCCAGATTCTACGAACAGAGGGGCGAGCCTTGGGAATATTCAGGATTGCATCCCTTCTGCAAAACCTAAGTCCTTTGCAGAGGCCCTTCGAGCTGACACACATCTTGCTGGAGAATATGATTCTTGGCACAATGATACCCTTGAGGAAGTTAGCGAACCACTCGACCCGAGCCTTGGTACTATTGATGAGTTTGGCTTCCAAACCATATTCGGTGAAGATGGCTCTGTTCGAATACGCTGCACAGAAGAAGCAAAGCAGAGATTGAGGAGCCCCTGGAGAAACACTATCATCGTCAAGCTGTTGGGCAAGAGAGTGAGAGTCATGTACATGAAAACTAAGCTTGAAAAGCTCTAGGCCAAGACAGGTTCCATTGTTGTAGCTGACTTGGGGAATGATTTTTCTCTGTGAAATTCGCAAGTCTGGAGGACTTGAACCTCGCTCTAACTGGAGGACCTTGGATTCTGATAGGTCACTATCTTGCAATCAGAAAATGGGAGCCATTCTTCAATCCCCACAAAGCTAATATCCATAGGGTTGCAGCTTAGATTCGGCTACCAGGAATTCCCCAAGAATTTTGTGTAACTCCTTTCCTAAAGCTTATTGGAACCACAATTGGAAAAGTTCTGAAAGTTGATAGAAATACTTTTACGGGAGACAGAGGGAAATTTGCGAGACTATGTGTTGACTTAGATTTATCCAAATCCCTTAGGGGTGAGTACATCCTGGAGAATGAAACCTTCAAAGTAGAATATGAAGGACTGTACCTGATTTGCATTAGATGTGGCAAATATGGCCACAATACAGAACACTGCCCTGAATCAGAAAAAACAGAGGTTGTTAATAATAACCAGGAAACCAACCCAACTGAGACGAATATACCTCCAGCTAATCAAGGAGTAGGTCCTTGGATGGTAGTCCAAAAAAAAATTCTCCAAACCTGCCTCTCCCAAGAAGACCGAAGGAAAAGGAGAAAGACCCTTCGGGGCTGATATTTCCAATAGTAGTAAGACCTTGCCTCAAAAGGTTGAAGTCATTTCTTTGTTGAGAAACCCAGCCCGAAAACAAGCTATAAACAATAGCAAGGAGAATCATAAGGAAAACATCAAGAACCTCCCGTCCAAGATTACATCTCAAACAGCTCCCCAGAAAACCCCTTCGGTCCTCAAAAAATCTCCGGTCAAAACCAGCTATAAACCTAAGCAGGTTGAGAAGAAAAATACCTTTGTATTTACGTCTGAATCCCCCCGATTTGGTAAAAATCCTTTGCCTTTAGAACTCCCTTCATCCAGTAACTTAGCCAACAGGGGAAAGCAGAGTAAAGCTTCCCCTCACCCTCCAGAACCTGCTAGTTATAAGCAAAAGGGAGCATCTCCTGCTGATGCTAATGGGGTTTTTTGTTCAAAATTTTTGGCTACTAGCATTAATGGTTCTGACAGTCCTATGCCTTCCTGCAACTTGTGTATAGTTGCGGACAAACCTTCGGTTATGGATATCACTAAACCTGAGAGTGATGAAGACCATAGGAAAGCTGTACCTCCAAACAAAGAACTTGATGATGGTATGGAAGTGGAGAAAAATATAACTGAAGATGCTTCTGAGCATATGGAAGAGAGTATCCAGGACCTCTGCAATCCTGGGACCGATACAGTTACCCAATGAATTGCCTAGTTTGGAATTGTAGGGGTGCGGCCAAAAAGCCCTTCAAAACAACCCTTAGAAATTTCATTAGAAAATACAAGTTTGGTTTGGTTGCTATTTTGGAACCAAGAATTAGTGGAGCTTGTGCAAAAAAAAAAAAAGATAAAGGAACTTGGATTCAAGAACTTTATTCTAGAAGATGCAGTGAGTTTTTCGGGTGGCATCTGGATTTTATGGAAAGAAGATCACTTCAATGTTTCTCTCATAGAGCAAACTAGCCAGCTTATTCACATTTCCTGTTCTACATCTCAAGGAATTGATTTCTGCCTTACTGTGGTCTATGCCAACCCAAGAGAGGAGATCCGAGAGGGTCTTTGGCTGGATTTAAAGAGAATTAGTGATAATGTGGTGGGTCCTTGGGTTATGATGGGTGATTTCAATGAGATTGCCTCAACCAAGGGAAAAAAGAGAGGAACTCCTGTCAATCATGCAAAATGTCAGAAGTTCTCTACCTTTCTCAATGATTGTAACATGCTTGACATGGGCTGCAAAGGGTCAACCTTTACCTGGAGGGGACCAAAGTGGCTTCATCTTGATAGAGTGTTTAAAAGGCTGGATCGAATTTGTGCCAATGCAGAGTGAAGAACAGCTTTTGGGGAAGCTACTGTTAGTGCTCTGCCTCGTTTGAATTCAGACCACAACCCCCTTCTACTCTTGCTTTTCCCTTAAGATCATGTTTGGAAAGAGAGACCCTTTAGGTTCCTGGTGGCTTGGCAAGGGCATAACTCCTTCTCCCACTTTCTCAAGTTTTCCTGGAAGCCTCATTTGAAGATCATTCACAGCCTGAGTACCCTTGTTCCCTCTCTCAAATCCTGGAACAAAAGGGTTTTTGGGTGTATTCAAGTGAGAAAAGAGTGCCTGCTTAAGAGGATCCAGGAAAACTAGAATTACTCTTCTAATCATACAGATACAGTTCATGCTGACCTTGACAAAGCTCTTCAATCTGAGCTGAACCGGGTGTTGGAGCAAGAGGAGGCATTATGGTTTCAAAAGGCCAGATGTAAGTGGATAGCTGACAGGGACCGTAATACTACTTTCTATCATACTACCACCATCATTAGGAGAGCCAGAAATAGAATCAGAGAATTAAAGAATGAAGGTCAGATTGTGAGGGAAGGTAATAATCTGATTCGACTTATTCATAATTTTTTTGAGATTTTATTTTCTGAGGAAGATTTTAACAGACCCTAGGTTTTGACTAAGAACAACTGGCCTGATATTGAGGAAGCCGAATTGGCTGCATTGAAAAATCCAATTACAGACTCCTTAATTCAGGATGCATTCTTCTCTATGAATGGCCTGAAGCTCCTGGTCCGGATGGGTTCCCAGCTTTTTTCTTCCAAAAAAACTAGGAATTATTGAAGAACCAAGTAGCTGATTGTGTGAAGCAAGCCTGGAACAATCCATCTGAGGTGAAAGAACTCAACAAAACCCTCCTTGTCCTCATCCCTAAACTGGCTAAACCTGAAAAAATTAACCAGTTCAGGCCTATTGCTCTTTGCTCAGTTATCTACAAAGGCATTAACAAACTTATTGTGGGTAAGTTGAAGCCCCTCCTGAACAAGCTCATATCTCCTCAACAAGTCAGCTTTGTGCCTCATAGACAAATCC